TCACGGTCGCCTTTTCCCCCCCCGCTGCTGCCTTTCAGCCCCAGAAGACGCCGTCGCAGCCGCTCTCGAAGCAGGAGCCGCTCTCGATCCCGCAGCCGGTCCCGCTACAGTCGATCCAAATCCCGGTCGCGCACACGCTCTCGGTCTCGCTCCACCTCGAAATCCAGGTCTGCCAGGAGATCCAAGTCCAAGTCCTCGTCCGTGTCCAGATCCCGGTCCAGGTCCAGATCCCGGTCCAGATCGAGGAGCCCTCCCCCTGCCTCAAAGAGGGAATCCAACTCTAGATCAAGGTCTAAGAGCCCTCCCAAGTCTCCGGAAGAAGAAGGAGCTGTATCTTCTTAGGAACATGGTAACGTACCTGGGGAGCAGCACCTGTTGCATGTTACCTGATTGTAGCGCTTAGCGGGGTGTTGGGTAGTTCTTAGCTCATTAATAGCCTGAACCAAGGGAATCCTAACGGGGCACGTGATTAGGGTTTTTTTTGTTTCGTTTCTTTCTTTCTTTCCTTTTTTTAAAAATTTTTTTTCTTTCTTTGAGCAGTACTTTTTAGTTATTGGTTTAGGGTAATACCAAAGGGCTTTCTACGGAAAATTTTTAGTTTTGTTTTGTTTTTACAGAGAAAATGTTTTATTGAGAGATTAATGGCTTGGTTTTAATAAAATATTGTATGAGACGCAACCTATGATGCAAATGACTATTTCTTACTGTATTTATCCAACATCTGCATTTTCCCCTTTAAAGCTGCGGTCTCCTGTTTGCTAAAAGAATATTGGCCAGTATTGCAGATTTTAACTGATTTGGCTGATCCTCCAGGGACCAGTTTCTGTGGGCGTGTATTGGAGCAGGTTTGTCTTTAAATGTTAAAGATACACTATCCTTTTATAACGGAAGATCGATTCGGTGGCCGTTACACTGACTGGAGGTAATAACTGTTCTAGAAAAGTGGCAAATTCCTTGCAACGAGAAAAACCACGGAAACGAGTTTTTCCTCAGGTTGACATCTTGAAGAGGCATCTCAGGATACACCGGGTGGGGAAAGGATAGTGTGTCTTTAACCCTTCAAACTGTTTGGTCCTGTTTGGAAAAGGCAAGGGCCTGAGCTAGCGCTGAGGTAGAGAATGGTAGTGAAATTAGCCACACTCGCTGTTCTGAACGCTCGTTAAGGGTTTAGTTAAGTACCTAGGGAGCAGCGCTAGTTTGATAACTTTTATATAACTTAATAAACTACTGCTGAGCAGGCTGAACTGAAGTTAGTGGTGGCTTGACCCACAGCCTGATGCTTTACTCCTCTTTGTAACTAAATACTCGGACAGGAGCTGGCTTACCTGTGGCCTCTGAAGTAAAGCAGCACCTGGGGGGAGGTGGAACACTGGTGGCAATTCCTACAGCTTAATTAAATGAGGCAAAGGCAGGTGAAACACAACTAGGAGTTATACCTGAAGTCATCCCCACGGCCCAAAGGGAGGAGGTGGGAACCTGGCTGAACTTTTCTCTCTTCACACCTAGATGCTTCAGATAAGTGAGAACCTGCATAAAGGACGCCTCTGGGGGAAAAAGATCGCTTGAGTCGTCAATCCCTTGGAGAGACCCCTGGCACGAGCAACCAGCTGTCGAAAAGGTTATTTTGTAACATTTTGTCTAACTTTTTACTTTAAGTTGCGCCTCGAGTGGCAGATTTTACATTTTATGTGCCATTTTGTTGCTGTTATTAAATTTCTTGTAATTTAGTGAAGTGAACGACTACCGATTTCATTATTGGCTTCGATATTTGAGGTAAAACTTCATTTTGTTTATAATAGCGCTGACTTCTATTTGAAATTAAAACCAACTTGCTGCCTCCAGTTTCATACTGAAGAAATGTGCAGCCATTATATGCTAATTCTGTCCAAAAGTATTCTCAATTTTGTCTTCGTTCCTGAAATAAAATTTTGCAAAAAAAACCCTTCAATTTGAAACTTACTGTAAATGCTTTTTTTTTTTTTTTTTAAAAAACTTTGAATTGAAATAGTATCTTCAAATTCAAATGGGTAGAAATCTTTTCAGGTGACAGTTGATGTTTGAAAGGATTGCTTTCTCAGCCTCCATTCTAATCTCTTCTCTTATGTATTTTTGTGCACTAGGCGCAGTTGTGTAGCAGTTGAGTAATGCTGGTTAGCTGTTAAGGTGGCGTGGTGCAGTGCAGAGTGCTTGGCTGTTTCCTGTGTTCTCCTGAGTGCTCCTGTGTAACGATGCCTTGTCGTGCAGAAACAAATGGCTGCCCAGTTAAATAAAATGCCTGACAGCTGCACTTCCAGTCACCCGGGCCTCGCGTAAAAATAACGGAGCATACAGTGAGCACATCTAGCTGCTGGTATACACACCTTGTTTTTTCCACTTACCGACCTGCATATACGAACTTACAGATGGGAAATGTAATGTTAAGAAAAAGAAATGGTTCATTCCTTTGTAAGTACTCATTGGTGTATCTTTTGCTTAAGACATTCTGTACTATACCCACTGTCTGTAGTTAATATTAAACATTTTTCTGTGTTAACTTTTCTCAACTTAATGTCCGAGTCAGCTTATTTTTAGCTTGAAAAGATTTCTGCGATTATACTGTCAATGTTTAACTTCTCTATAGTAACTGAATACATTCTACTGCTTCAAAGTTTTATCCCTTGGGGTGGTTTTAAATTAGTGGGCAAACTCCAGTGGTGTTGTGACTGACCCAGGTGTTGTACGGCACGTGTGGCACAGCAGCCTGTCACCGCGGGCTCACGCGGGTCTGTTGGCTGTTGCTACAGAGGATACACACCGAGCAGTACTGATTGCGTTTGCCGTGTGCTTGCCGTGACTCGACAGCTGCTGCTCCAGGGGAGCCCGTCTTACAGCTGATGATTTGTTGGGGTGTTGTGGGTTTTCTTTTCTTGATTCGAGTACCAACTGAATTGTAATGTCAACCATCCTGTGTCAAGGGTTACTGTAATGCCTTGTTACCTTCCTGCATGTATGTTAAACGGGAATGGAAACTCTGAATACTCGCAGTCTGGCTTGATTGAGGATTAAAAGAACTTTTCTACAACCTGAGGAGTTAGTGTGTTTGAGGACTGTGTGGCCAGTGGCGCTCTGCTCTGAATCATGTAACACAAGGGCTGGCTTTTGCGTGTGAATCTCTGGGAGGGTGCTTCAGCCCTGGGAAACAGACCTTGCAGGGATGGTTTTTTATCTCAAGAGAGCGCAGTTAACTTTTCTTCACAGCCCGAGTGGTGAATTTCAGTTGGATCTCCCATTGTCAGGTGTTAAGCTCTTGTGTGGTTGCTTCCGTAAAGGAATGGAGCCTTTGAACTATTACACAGCCTTGGGGAGGAGCACAAATTTCTCAAAAAGCCACAGCTGAACAATCAAACAGCTTTATTTTTACAGTGCATGTTTCTAAAAAGAATTTCTGCTGAGGAAATAAACTTAAGTGGAATAAACTTAAGTACTCCCTGACTGTGCTGGCGAGATGATCATCATTTCGATCATGTGTCTTCCTGGTAGAGAGGAGCCAGCCAAGTGCTCTTGGTCTGCACCAAACGAGTGTAGGGGAACGTGGGTGCTCTTCAGTTTCCACTTGCAGAGCAGAGCTGCTACAGACCAGTCAGCACTGAGGGGAGGAAGCACCAGAAAAATTAAAGTTTACAACTTCTGCAGCAATGACAGGAGGCTGCTGCCAAACAAATACTGTGTTTCACAAAACTGAGTTTCTAGCGGTTTTCTAGTCGGCAGTAAATTGGTGGTTCTTAAATTATTTTCTGGTTTGGCTGCTTTTGGCTGTTTGCTGTAGGGTTCACTTGGCCAACACCAGCCTGACTTGTAATCTGTGAGGAACCTCTCTGGAGAGAAATTAACGCTCTTCAAGAGCTACGACAGGAATTAAAGTTTGAGTCTTAAATACGTAAAAGAATTTACCTTCGGACTTGATAGGTAGTCCAGAATTGAGCATGTGGGTTCTTTTCCAGCAAGAAGTAAATCGTAGTTAAAATATCTTCAAAGTCTGTGGGGTTTGGGGACATGAAGCAAGCCTGGTTAGTCTCTGGATTCGAGATCCCGTTCTATGTGCCTGGTTATGAGAAACGGTAATTAAAAAAGTACAAGACTAACTGCAGCAGTGTGTCACCTGAGAATAATGGCCTTAAGCAGGTAATTACTCCATTTTTGTCACTCCCCCTCCGGTGGCGTTCACACGGGAGCGTTACCCCGGGAATAACCAGTCCGGTGGCCCGGTACCACCGTGACGGCCGTGACCTGATCTCTGGACCCCGGTACCCTTGGACACAAAGTCCTGGCTCCTTGTCACAGATCAGAGATACCTGGGGAGTGTCGACGTACCTTTCGGGTCAAAAAAGACATCCGATCCCAAAATGATGTCTATGGGGGCCAGAGAGAGCAGTTCCGGCGACACCCGGCCCCAGGTGAGCCCCAGCACCGGGACGTGGGACAGG